GTGCTGGACCAACCAGTCCAATCCATGGTGGCTCCACCTCTTAGCTTAAAGGGATAGTTTACCCAAAAATGAAAATTCTCTCATTAATTACTCACCCTCACGTCGTTCCAAAACTGTAAGACCTTGGTTCATCTTCAGAACACAAAGTAAGATATTTTTGATGAAATCTGAGAGCTTTCTGACCCTGTATAGACAGATAATGGTGAAGGACAGTGACGTGGAAGAGAAGAATTGTTGAATAAAGTCACTATTTTTGTTTTCTTTGCACACAAAATGTATTCTCGTAGCTTCGTAAAATTACGGTTGAACCACTGATCTCACATGGACTATTTTAACGATGTCCTTTCTACCTTTCTGGGCCTGGGAATATTTCAGTTACATTACTGTCTTGTCAGAAAGCTCTCGGATTTCATCAGAATATCTTAATTTGTGTTCTGAAGATGAAAGAAGGTCTTATGGGTTTGGAACGACATGAGGGTGAGTAATTAATGACAGAACTTTCATTTTTGGGTGAACTATCCCTTTAAGGACAAGAAGGATCTGCTGTCAACGTCTTGGTGCCAGATACCACAAGACACCTTCAGGGGGCTTGTAGAGTCCATGACTTGGCATGTCAGTGCTGTTTTGGCAGTACAAGGAGGATCACCACAAAAATAAGGACAAGACAAGCTTTTCATGTCAGAGCACCCCTATCAGATACCATTCTATAAATATCTTGATTGAATTCCATATTGAAGAACTGCACTAAACATAGTAAGAAATCAGTCGGTTTAGTCAACAAAGGTTTTTTCAGATATCAGAAATTCCCATAACGGCATGGAATTATGGGATGGATATCACTGCACCCATCTTTGAGCTCTGGAAAATTCCCCGGGGCTTTTTCATCAGGTCTGTCAATTGGATTTGTTCCCTACCATTGATCCTTGTATAAAAACCACAACAGACCTGAGCGATGGTACCAACTCCACCAGAGCCAATCAGGATGACAGCATTTGTTGTTGTTGTTTAACTCTGTGCTGATAACGCTGAGGGAAAACAGTGCCCTCTGCATTTACGACACTAGTGATGAATCGCTTCTGCCACTTACAGAGATTTCCTTTCACAGAAGGTCAGGGATCAGCTTCTTTTGTGCAAAACTGTTTTGTGCCTGGCGAGTTGGCACCTCGGCTGCTTGGATGAATGACTCATGTGTGACATTATGATAACATTTAGATTTTGTGTTCTGGGTTGGTCCTCCAGTTTCCAGACTCTGTTTTGGACAAAGACTTGATTTAAGGCAGCAAAAGTTCACTCATTATTTACTGACAGGCCGAACAATGAGCACCTGAATTACAGGAAACCAGATGTGATATGGTCTTTATGGGGACATGTAATAAAATGTGTGCGTCTGTCGAGTTGAACTATGTTTTTCGAGTGAATATGTTTTTGTCTATATTTAGGAATTTGTAGTTGTAGTACATTGTTTTTTTTTTTTATCTGCTCCAGTCTGTATCACCCAAGGGCTTTTTGATTGGCGGCTAGTCGTCAGGGTTGTGTAACATCAGCAGGGTAATTAAAAACATCTCCCACTCGTTTAACGGATTAATCTTCTTAATTATTTATGGCTCTATTCTCAGCCCAAAATCATGCTAGCGTCCCAGTGCACCATATGCCCCAGATTCATGGGTCATACTCGCTTTTTAATGGCTTTCTGTATTGAGTACATGTGTGGAGCTTGTCCTAAAGTCACTTTCTGAGGAGACTGTAGTATGAGGACAGGAGGATAAGTATACTCTGAGCCGTGTAATGTATGGGCCTGGTGATTAAATACTCATGATATATTCACGATAATTTATCTGACGATATTTATTTAGGCAGCATTGCAAATATGTATTCTTTTAACTAGTATTTCTATTAAAATCTTTATAAAATGTTGCTGTTTATCATTATGTACTAGTACTATATAGGTGAAAATATAATTCTTCTTGTTCATTTAGTGTAAAATAGCATGGAAAACAAGGATTTATTTCATTTTTAAAACAATTTTTTCACGCGTTTTACTCTAATTTTTGAATCCACCTTCCAACAATAGCTGTTTGGCTGAAAAAAATGCTTCCTCTGTTTAGAAAAAAATCACAGTTACCATCTCAGTAGTTTACATTATTAATATTCAGTGCTAAAACTATAGCGTACAACATTTTTTTATATATTTATAACGTTTTTGAGAATTATAAAGATTGAACTCATTGGTGCATCAGACAATACACGTCAGTTGCATTTTTCATGCATATCATGTATCTGAAACTGCTCAATTGTTCATTGTTTTACCATTCATAAGTGAATGCAATGCGAGCAGAAATAAGTGAATGCAGTCATCTAGACACCACTGTAATTTGCGTTTGACAGACGGAAAAAAATGTAATGTGTTTTGCAAACGATGCACCACACATATTGTACTCTGCTCAATCAGTCTCTACTGACTCTCTCAAACGATTCTCTCAGTCTAATTCTCTGGCACTTCTCTTTAGAGGCTTTTTACTTCTAAGAGGCTTTTAGAGGCTTTTTATTTAGAGTGTCGTCTCTCTAAATCTCTCTGTGACTCTTTGTCTGACTCTTCTTGTTTTGGGAATTTCTATCCCAAGTCTGTTTAAATCTCATAGTCATGTGCATTCCATCTTTCCGAAATACTTTTTACAGAGTTCATAGATGGACTGTCCTGGACTAATGCCTGACTGAAGAATTTTAATGCTTGACCTCACTAGCCAGAAGTGTTTCCACAGAGGAACAGAAGCCTCTCCAAACATTTCATCAAAAATGTCTAGGATAGTGTGAACTATGAAGTTTTGGTTTTGCTTTCATTTGGTTGCATTCAAATAAAAAAAAGTTAAATTAATAAATGAATTAGATGGTTATTTTAATGAAGGGATAAAAAGAATAACACATCATTTTAATCAGCCTAATGAAGTACTTTTTTAAATATGTAACTATCACTTTTTCTGCTCTGTTGGGGTGTGAATATCTGCAATGTTTTTTTCCAGATTGCAGTTTTCCATCAGTACAGTAGTTGTAAATATTTCTCTCTGCCCTCCATTAAAGCTGACCACAGTGATCTCATGTGTCGCCACCTGCTTATGCTTTCCAGGCAGGTAAAAGGTGTATAAGACATGTGATTGGCAGAGGTGTGAAGTGAGCCAACACACACACCTGTGCTGTTGCATAACAGAGTTACACAGGCCTTACATCACACCAGTGTCCTGAACACTTATCTGCAATGCTGCTTTGAAAAGGGGCCTGTTTCCTGCCTGTGAAATGTTGCTATCGGATTAAACAATGAGCTTTTGTTTACTGGATGCTGATGTGATCTTTGAAGTTTCGCTGCAGTGTCTGTCCAGCAACACACTGAGAGAGAAACCTCAGCTCTCCTTTTTTGATTCTGGGCCATCATAATAGATACAATCATATATTTATATATTATATAATTTCTTAAAGAAATTGCATTAGGGATGCACAACATATCAATACCATACAAAAGAAATAAAATCTTTAAAAACGTAATAATTTAATTAGTAATTAAATCAATTAATTATTTAATTAATACTGTTAAATGTAATCTTTTGTTAAACTCAAAATAATTATCCATTTCTCATACTGTACATTTAAATGTAGCTTTTAGTGATTATTTTTATTTCCTTTGTCAAAGTAGCATATAATTTTAATAGCAACCATAGCATGAAAATAATAGTCTTCTCGTATGTATTGGCCAGAATTTTAATATTATTCCTTTTAATTATATTTATTTTGTTTGTTTATTTCAATTCATTTATGCATGTATGCATTCATATGTTACTGTTCATTTAATGATAAAGCAGGTCATCATGGTATGTGTCCTCCTTATCTCCACGAATCTGATGTCAACATCACTAAACTAAAACTACTTTGCACAGGTCAGCGTTAATCTTTAATATGTTTCATTTTTCATTAAAGGAATAGTTCATCCAGAAATGAAGTCATTTATTCACCCTCATGTCGTTCCAAACCTGTATACTGGAATGTTTAGTGACCAGGGGCTGTCAAGCACTAAAAAGGTAAAAAAGAACACAATAAAATGAGTCCATACACTATATATTCTGCCAGCTTAACCAATGAAATATCCATGATAAACAAGTTTCACTTGCAGATTGACGAGTTTAATCAGCTGAGATTTGCTGGTTAACAGCGTGACAATACTAGCATTAAAATCATGGTGTTTTTAGCTGGTGTTGATTTTACATGCCACACACACTCTCCCTTACACACACAAAGAGCTGGTGTGTCATGAAGGCGGATGTCCACTCCTTCCACCTGGGCAGTGTGTAAGTCTACACCGCTTGCAGGAAACACTCAGAGCTGCACATGAATTAGTGATTGGCACGTCCCCTCTTGTTACAGAAACCTTCTGTATGTGTGGGAACAGAAACACTGAAATGCAAACACAAACAAGCTGCATACGGACAGCAAAAATGATAAATGATTATTCTTACAATTTAAATATTAAATTTATTCAAATTATAGTTTTATTAATTGAAATTAAAAGGGATAGAGAAATGATACAAATTGATATCAAAACATATCAAACAACATGCTTATATCTTAAAACAACAGTTAATTGGCCTTGTCAGTATAGTGAATATGGACATTGTGTGGGGTAAATCTAGAAGTTGTTCTGGTGTCCTTGAATGAACCTTTTGTGTTATTTTCTTCCTGTCACCGTTCTCTCTGTACTTGCTCCATCAGCACAATAAAGGTCACTCTTCATATTTCACCTGCCTCCTGTTCAAAACCGTCTAAATCAGCACTGAAGGGTCCTGTACTGTGCTTCTAGGGCACAGGAGAGCATGATGCTAGTTTCATAATAACACAAATGCTAAAAACATCAGCAGTATCGTGAAATTACACACTGCAAACGTTTACAGTAGACATCAAGTTATTTAATGGAGAAGTGAAGCAGTTCTGAAATGTGTTTTGTTTGTAATTCTCCTCAGGAGCGGTTTGAGGCTCTGTTCAGGATCTATGATGATCAGACGTCCTTCCAGATGTTCAAGAGTTTCAGAAGAGTTCGGATCAGCTTTAGCACTCCAGAGGCTGCTGCACGCGCACGCATCGAGCTCCATGAATCCGATTTCAATGGCACGAAACTAAAACTGTACTTCGCACAGGTCAGTGCTTTAATCTTTATTATGTTTCATTCTTCATTAAAGGGATAGTTCTTCCAGAAATGAAAATTCTGTCATCATTTATTCACCCTCGTGTTGTTCCAAACCTGTGTGCAGGAGCTGTCAAACTCCAAAACGGCACAAAAGAACATCATAAAATTAGTCCATGTGACTTGGGAACTATATTCAAATACTATAAACTAAAGATATAGTTCCAAAAAGACTGAAATACACAATTCTGTTCAAAAGTTTGGTGTCTGTAAGAGAGTGTTTTTAGTGTTTTTGAAAGTTTTATTTTAAGGTTGAATTTATTTTAATCAAAAATACAGTAAGAACAATGATATTGTGAAATATTATTACAATTTAAAATAAAATGTTTCCTTTAATTTCTATATTAATATATTTTAAAATGTAATTTATTCCTGTGATGGCAAAGCTGAATTTTCATCAGTCATTACTGCAGTCTTCAGTGTCACATGATCCTTCAGAAATTACAATATGCTGTTTGAATTACTAATATGCTGATTTGATGCTCAAGAATCATTTCTTGTTATCAGTGTTTAAAACAGTTGTGCTGTAAATATTTTTCAGGATTCTTTGAAGAATAGAAAGTTCAATATAACAACATTTATTTAAAAAAGAATGTAACTTTGTAAATGCCTTTAATGTCACTTTTGATAGATTTAATGCATGCATTCTAAATAAAAGTATTCATTTCTTTAAAAAAGCTTGCTGACAAAACCTTTGAATGGCAATGTAAGTTCATATTCATTCAAATTCATGTATTCATTTTTCATAATTTTGCTCTCCCCTGAAGCTTGCATATAGCCAATGTTCTGTTCAATGTTCATACAATGTTTTTTGTATGTTATGTTTATTGGAGCATTTTCAAATTAAACATTTAAAAATACCCAAAACAAATACATACAAAAAAGATAATTATACCGTTCTTTTACTTGCTACACCTGATGTAAACGAGGAAGGGCATAGCAAGTTTGTACCCACAGTAACATTATGAATCAAGCAAGGTGCACAAGGCATTTGATTCATTTAAAACATCGTCTTTGACAATAATAGGACAATTATCAGAAGCAACATGAGCTGCGATCTCAGGACTCTCAGTGTAACATTAGCAGGAGAACAGATGAGAGAAGAGGAGAGTTTAGTTCTTCATTTCTCCTCTCAGAGGTCTGTCAGCTTGGGATAGTCAAAGAACACACAGTTCCCAGCACAGTAACACAGACACACACACACTGTGGAGACTTTCGTGCGACTAATCATTGCTATTAATTGTGTGAAATCAGACAGACACAATTATATTTCTAGAATCAGTATGTAGTAAATGTGCTCCACGTGTTTTATTCAGAGCACAGAAAGAGTGGACGCACTCCTCAGAGTGATTCTGTGTATTTGTGTGCTGCTGTGTAGGAGTGCGGATATGATCTAGGTAGGACAACGTGTGTCTTTTAAACAGTGAAAGATTAGCCTGTTTCCTTCAGAGAGATGTAACTATGGTGAAAATATTCCTTCAAATCAATTAGATCTGGGCCTGAACTGTGCTATATTTAGCTAAGAGGATGTATTTCATTTAAAAGGAGAGGAGTTTTTTCTTGTTTTTCGCTTTATCACCCCGTCTTTTTTCTCACTGACCACAGGTGCAGAATTCAAGGGACGACATGGACAAGACATACCTTGCCCCACCTCAACCTGTCAAGCAGTTCCTCATCTCTCCACCTGCGTCCCCACCTGTGGGATGGAGCCAGAGTGAAGATGCCACACCTTTGATCAACTACGACCTGCTGTGTGCTGTGGCCAAATTGGGACCAGGTACAAAACACAAACACACACACACAGTCAGCATACAAGCATATGCCACTTACTCCCACACATACAAACAAGCTGTGCTGAGTGTAAGTGTGTGTAACCATCTGAACCAAATGTATGTCCTCACTGACTCAAACACTGGTTTTCACACCAAAAGTGGATTAAAAACACTTGCGAACTTCTGTAGATAGATTAAGTGACCCCAAAAGCATTTGGAGTACAAACATTTTCTTGAAAAGTGTGCTTGTGCTTTTTAGTGAAGGGTTTTTTTTTTTTGTATTTATCTTTTGCCAGGGGCTATGGACTGATAATATAGAAATAGAAATATAGAAAGTTCTTAAAGGGGACTGATATATTTATCAGTCCCCAAATGTGAACAATTTCTTCTATAGCTTTATTTTGTTTGCCTCGTCAGGCACTGGATGCAATTTTAAAAAAATGAAAGTTTTTCCTCATTGGTAATAAACCTTAAAATGCACATTTCTGTCAGGCACTGGATGCAATGAATCCAGGATATGTAATGGTAAACTAAGAAACTATCCGTAAGTATTTTTTCATGTATTTAAAAGAAATACACACCGTCTAAATTTATTTGATACAGTAAAAACAGTGATATAGTGAAATATTATTGCAATTCAAAATAACTGTATTCTATCATATGTGTTAAGATATAAGAAATAAGAAAGTAACAATGTAAAAGTTTTTACCGTGATCAATTGAATGTGTCCTTATTGAATAGTATCAACCTTACTTTCGTTTTGATCGGTAGTGTAGGTCAGCACTAGTTGTATTTAATGTTTATTCATGATTTCATGAAAGTTATTATACAGTCAGTGTTACTGAGAAGATCCCTGAATTGGAAAATGTTGACAATCCCTGATCAAATTCAATGGCAGATACATTTTTTTAATGTGACTTTAGTGTTCAAATAATTTTTGGGGCCACATTTCCAGATCCCATTCCTCCATCTTCTTCACCATCTCCTGATATCCCTCTACTAATGAATTAAAATGGCAAGAAGGCTAAAATGATATTACAAGGATGCTGTATTGTAAAAAATAAATAAATAAATACAAATTTATCAACTGTTTTAATGTGTGGTTGGTGATCAAATATTGTGTTTAAAAACTGAACTGTAATAGGTGGCAACAGTAAACAGAAATGGACTGTTAAAACCGTTTTAGATGTTCCTCTTCATGTGTGCTGTGTCTTGCGCCCCCTGCTGGTACATGGTTGGCTCGTTACTATAGCAACCCTCATTCTGTTTCTCAGTGTTTGTGTGTTCTCAATGGTGGTGCTTCTATTACTTCATCTTTCAATGGCTTTCAAATTTATCTGGACATTTATCTATAAAATGTCCACCCGATGCAGAAAAGATGGCAAAAACAATCTAACACAAAATGTTTTGGGCTCCATTCTTCATATCTGGATTACTGAGTTTTCTCATTTTAATTGTTGATGACATGACATAATACTCTCATTCCACTCTTCAGTAAGAGTTGTTGGAGCGCCATATATCATGTTGAACTAAATGCAAAAAAAAATCAAATATATATATATATATATATATATTGGATGGATGGATGAATAGATAGATACCCTAGTCTTAGAAGAACACTGTGTTGAGCTAGAGGCAAAAATAATTTTGTATATTCTTATTAATAATAGATTTTTTAGTATTATATAGCCTGAGAAGAGCACCATGTTGAACTAGAGACAAAAATAATTTTGTATAACATTATTATTATTATTTTTAATCACAGACCATTTTGCTAATTTATAGGGACCTATGGTTTTAGGGTTTAATTTACCTCATAATTTACATTAGCTGTACAGTTTGTCCTAGCCATGCAAAGAAAGTTTTTCCTCATTGGTAAATTCTTGTTCTTGGGAAGTTCTTCTTTAACAGTTTTTGCGATTGTTGTCAGTATATCACAGGTCAACATTTGGTTCAATAGACAATGCAAACATGACGGATGCAGAATGTCCGGGAATGTGTTTGTACTAGACTTTTCATAAAAGTAAAAAATGTCCTGCCCACAGCATGGCTTTCTTCAATGATGAAGAAGTTCATAGCTAAATTGAGGACATATTTGGCTGGGAAGGAAGGCTTGAGTTCTGAAACTAACTTCATGTTTTTTTAGTATGTCCATTCATTTCAAAAGGTGTTCATCTTTTATCTGTCTCTCTAGGTGAGAAGTATGAGCTGCATGCGGGTACAGAGTCCACTCCTAGTGTGGTGGTCCACGTGTGTGAGAGCGATACTGAGGAAGAGGAAGAAGCCCGGCCAAAAGCCAAGATTGTCCAGACCGGACGCCCCGACGGTCCCCCGAAAGTCTACAACTAAAACCTTTGGCACACTTCACACGTTTTTCTCTCTCTCTGTGTCTCTTTCTCTCATCCAGGGAAAGGCACACTTTATTTCAATAACAAAAAAAGCTAAACTAAGAATGGGATGGATGTGGAGGGATGCTCCGTGCACAGGTGACGTGTGGTGTTCTGAACTGGACTCGTGAACTGAACACACTGTCTCACTGCTGCCTCACGGGACAGCCAGGGGGCGATGAGCTTGCGACCCCCGTCTCACAATCATAGCGCTTTCATTCCCTCATTTAGAGTCTTTGTACTGTAGCATTGAAGAGCAGTAATTGTATTTAACAGTCGTAGAAGTAGGTTACATGTAAACTTTGTTACTGTTTGTCACTTTGATTGATCATCAAAGAAAATAACGCTTTAAAAAAAGGAAGCCGACCCATTCTGCTTTCTCCGTTTCTCTCTCGACAGCCGTGTCCGCGTTCATCTCCATATCGGTCAGGTTGGCACACCTGCAGAGGTGGCGCGGCTCGCTGGGATTGTGACCCATGTGCGTATTTATGCCTGTTCATACCATGCTAGAATGAGATGACAAGTTGTTTAATGGAAATGGTAAGAACGGTTATGATGAGAGGGTGTTTACTAAGTTAGATGTGTATTATTCTTACTGTGTATTTGATACCACACATTTTTGCATGCTGACTGGCGTATTTTATACTCTATGTTAAAGCAACTTTAAGCATATCTGATCGCTGTCTTTCAGAGTGATTGGCCTTGGAAAGCGAAGAAACAGTTGTCAGGTGTAAAGTTCGATATTTTGTATTTGTATAGCGCATCATTCACTTGCAGGCCAGATAAACAATTAGGAAAAAGCACATGGTTTGGGTCTTAGTTTTACACCATCTCTGTTTGGCGTGATTCTGTACCACTTGCATTGTTTAGCACTGACAATGTTTGGTGTTTTTCATATCTTCATTGATTTATTGAATATACATTGACATGCTCAAGTTTCGAAATGAAAATCAATGTGCCGAGTGACCCAGAACAGAGTACTGATAATGATACTGTCATATTGTTAAGTTGTGCATTTTGCAATGACAGATCAAATCATATAAAGGGATAGTCCACCGAAAAATGAAAATTCTGTCATCATTTACTCCAAACCTGTATGACTTTTTTTCTTCTGTGGAACTATCCCAGTTCTTTTGTGTCTCATAATTGTTTTTCCATTTTATAAACCTCCACTGTGTTAATTCATACCAAAAAGGTAAAAATAGATGAAAATGGATGGATGAAAATGTCATTTTAAGATATTTGTTTTAGTAATAATGTACAGTCAGTGAAGTAGAATGTCACGATTGACCAATCAGATTGAGGATTGCAGAGGCTTATAAAGATGGCGGTTAAATTAGCCTTAGAAAAAAAGTCACATTTTAGTCAAAAAATAATTTAAAAAGAAAGAAAATTCAGTTAAACATTGAGTGATATTCAGTCATATTTTGAAATGCAATGAAAAAGAAATAATGCAAACAAATAACTGTGAAATTCATGTGACTTTATAAATTGCCTTGCTCCCTTACTTACATGTGAGAAAAAGATTTCAAGTGTTTTGTTTAAAAGCCAATCCTTTTGTGATGAAGGACTCATTTAGCAAATAACTTAATATAGAAATAAATAATTTAACTTTTTTTTATTTTGTACTTCTGCATGCTGTGACTTTTCCATAGATGGAGTCTTTCCCGTTTGTATCTCACTCTGAATGCAGCCCTTTTCTCCTGCCTGTTTCATCCTGTTGTGTTTCAGTCAATACAGGTGTGAGAAACATGGTGAACAAAGCTCTTTGAGTTCTTGATAACCAGCATGAACAAATGTTTTGGACTCTTTGAGTTTTGTGTGTGTTAACCTTTAAGACAAAAGGAAGAAGTTAAGTATATGAACACAAGAAGCAAATTTGTACCGAGTTGTAAGATAAGCCTACCATTGGCAGCATAATGTATTGATATTTTTTACTGTCTTTAAGGCTGTTGTTGCAGTTGCTCCGTATCAGTAAAATTATCTTGTTCTTTCTTTTCTTTTTATAAGGAAGCCTACAGATAGTCAGTTCTATCACCGTTGCTGTTCTGTTTGGATCTAGATATTGTCTAGTACTTTAAGTGTAGTTCATAACCCGTGAACACGAAGCAATAATTTACAGTTATATGTCTGTGTCCCGTATGGTATGTATTTTTTATTTTATTTTATTTTTTTGCAGGGCTCTTCTCTGACTCTTAGCTTGCTTTTGTTTGTGTAAATATGATTGTTATTTGTTTCTCATTGGCATATAAATATATAAATAAAGATATATATATAAAGAACTGATTATTAAAAAAAGATTTATTGGGTGTTTATTTCACCCAAGTAGTCAAGTACCTCCCAACGTGACAGAAAAGTGTGCATCTAGATTAAAGTCCATTATGATTCAATACTGTTTAAGGGTGTGAATAACGTTTATTGGCACCATATTTTATTAATCATAGATGATAGGATGTCCCCACCAGGAAATATTTACAAAATTGTGTGTGTGTGTGTGTGTGTGTCCTTCTCTTCCTCATTCCATCTGTGTTTGAAGGAGCGGTCATGCGTGGGCAAAAACTTCAATTCTGAATAAACATTGTCCGTGTGAAATTTTACTGTTTTTTTTTTTTTTTACCTCATTAATGCAAAAACAATATCAAATTCCGATTGCGCCAGGCTTTATAAATATCTCAGTTGTGCTTATTGTCTGTTTTTGCCTTTTTTTTTAAACAAAGGTAGGTTTAACTGTCACAGTCACACAATTAGCCTACTTTCCACTATCCAGTTTTTCTTTATCTGATGATAAAAGGAGGTTCATCTCCACCTCACCAGGGGAGAATGGGACACACCTGATTTTTGTTTTTACCTGTCAATGAGGAGATCCCAGCCCAGTCTCCTGGGATACAAATACTGATACAAAGATATTAATTATACAGGCTCTCACATGTCCTGTTGGGAATTATTCTTTGAGGGAAATAATAAGGAGCTTGTGAATCACATCCAGTAGCTTTGAACAAGATGTACAACAAGAACTAGATCTGCCTGAATTTGTAACGTTTTTCCCCTTGCATAATGCAAATCGATGTGTATACTGAAAATCTGCTTATACCCACTTAAATGTATCTATACAAGGAATCTGATAATATACTGAAGATTGGATCACATATCACTTATACAGTATAATATTATTGACATTCATTTATAAATATTGCATAAAGTGGCCCCAAAACGTATTTGGACACTTAATTGTAAGTCACACTTAAAATGTACAAATGCCATTGTACAATCTAGCAAAATATCAAACTGAACAATATATAAATAAAAAGCACACACATAAGCAAAATATTTAATAAGAGGTTTGTTTTAGGTGCATATTAAAATTCTGGCAGATACCAATGAGCACATTACCCAGTACATTATAAGTGAGCATCAGATGTCAGCAAATAGACGATGCTATCTATATCCAATATCAACAAATGTTGATAAATTAAACATATTAATTAAATAATTTGTTATCTACTTTTATTTTGTTATCGACTGCAATGTAAATCATGCAATTTTAAGAGACCAAACTCTTGGGGCCACTGTATTGTAGGCTATAATGCCTTGTTTTTGCAGTCTCTCTTTGAGGGAGAAAAAAAAGGTAGCCTCAGTGTGATATATGGACAAACGAAAGCAGCTTAAACTATGTAAACAGTGTAATCTTCGGGCCGGATGTGTAATGCCCTGAGATGGGTGACTGATTGCAGTGCAGTGTGTACCTGCGCTCGCCATGTGTTTGCTGATGACCAATGGAAACAGCCTGACTTCAGCTCTTATCTTGTGTATGTGTAGAGCAGATAGTCTATGCAAGATACTTTGAAGAGCGAGTTAAGTTAATTGACTGAATTATGAATTATTGTTGTAAGCATGCATGTCTATTGAAGATACCTCAGGGTGAGAATAATGGTGCTGCTGAGTATATTGAACATGACGTCAAAACTAAAAGTTTGCGGGTTATTTTTACTATACAAAAATATCTTGTTTTCAACAGAAATGTAAAACGCTGTAGTAATAATAACGGTAAGATTAGAGTGTGTAACTGTATATGTCGCCAAAAATCTCTGAAACGAACCCACAAAGTCGCGCACACCAGACTAGGTAACAACACTGCTCACGCGATTTTAATTGCAAACATTTTTGGGTAGTACGTCGATAAAGCACAAAAAGTACTATTATTAAGTAGGCTATCACTTTATTACATAAGTACATATGACAAATATGTCACAAAAATGTTAGTGTTTTTTTTTTAATGTCTTTTAGACAATTGATGTGAGGCTAACTGCTAGTGGCGTCAAATTACAGTTTGTATCGCGAGACGACGAACCTCGACAGATTGCGTCTTGAATACCTGTACATTTAAATGTTTAACAAGTAAGCAGAAGTTAAAATATCCTTTAAAAGCTGACATTTCTGCAAAGATGCAGAACAGTCTCTCAGAATTATTTATTGCGCAAAATGAGGAACAGCCCATTCCATGGCTTTGTAAAATGCCAATTATAAAACGGATAGTTTCGGTCCTTGATTCTGATTGGTTGAGCCATTACTACGTATATGGAATAACCGTTTTATAAAAGCAATAAGCCCCGTGAAGCCGTGGTTTACAGTGAATTTATAACAGCTAAAGGGGTTGTTATAAACATGCCTAACAACGTGCCTCACAACGCCCCTTAGCTGTTATAAATTCACTGTAAACCACGGCTTCACGGGGCTTATTGCTTTATTAATCAATCAAACCAGATGATGTAAGACTGGCAGCGGTGACCATTATGGAACAGTTTTTTTTAACTAGATTGAGGCCGAGGACAATAGAGTCTCTTCTGTAAGTCTCCACTCTCCTCCAGTTGTTTGTGAAAGCTGAGCAGGACAACGTGTTCTTGTTATATAATGATGCCATCTGAAAAAAGAGTGCAAACTGCCAAACACAAGAACCACAAAATTCCCCACTGGGACAAGCTGTATCAGGGACCATGAACTCACAAACGAGGCAAGAAGTGTAGAGAAAGTATGGTAATATCTGTTATTTCATTTCGAACATATCTAAAACAGAAAGTGGCTGTCTCACAAAAATAAATAAATAAAAATAAAAAAGAAAGAAAGAAAGAAAACACTTTTTCTCTTTACAAGTAACTTGATTCCTGCTGAGGCATATTGCACTGGCTGGTCGACTGGAAAACCCATGAGTGAAATTCTATCATGAGATCCCTTAGAGGAAGGAATCCCTCAAAAAGAACAAACGTCCCCTTTCTTTTATCGACACATTTCTGTTACAAAACGTGTGTGTGTGTGTGTGTGTCGGGGTGGAGGGATGAAACATACCCTTTTCTGAAGGAAATTGCTTTTGAAAAGAAAGAGTTGCAGAAAACACCAAGGTATGACTCATCTTAATTATGCTGTTATAGTAATACACATGTAAATTATTTTTAAATTTAAATGCTAAATAATTAATTACACAATACAATTTTGTCTAATAACTTTATTTCAATATAAAACGTGAATTGGTTAATAATGTCTGATAATTAGATTAGAATAGGTTAATTGGCTTAAATGACAGACAAAAACATTATATTCATCAAGCAAGTGAATCACAACAACTCTGATGTTCTGGTATCTGCTCAAATCTATTTGCAGTTGAGTGTGTGTTAAGGATGTACTTGAAGGGAATCTGATTGAATATTTAAATGTGGCTGATAAAACATCATCTGTAAACCACATCAGCTCTCTCTGTGGCCCTTGATTTGCATGTGTACAGCACGTGTGCTAATCTTGTAATGATTTTCTACTATTCTACATTCTGTTACACAGAGAAAGTCAATGAGAAATGCACTGTATGTGTATGTGTGTGTTTAATTAAAAGTGAGTACTGACCGAGAGCGGAGTGTGTGAACTGTGTTGTGAATGTGGCACGCCTTGGGGGCCAGGCCAGACCTGAAAAACCAGCTACCGCTTTCAGTCCAGAGAGCTCTGATATGGCACGTCGTGTCTACCTCCCTGCCAAGGGCTGAAACCATCCCTCGCTTTCGACTTCTTCAGTTTATAATCACGCCTGAAGTGGACATTCGGTCATTTCACCTGTTCAGACTCATTTCAGACAGGTTTCCATTGTGTTTTTAAGCCCCAGCTCTGTTAGCGGCAGCGTGTGTGTGAGGGAAGGAGCGTGTGGACTATGCTCACTTCAGTCGACTGAAGGAGGGGGAGTGGAGGAATTGATACTGTGGAGAGAGAACTCCACGACGGGGAACTGATCGTACAGGTAAGCCAATATGCAACCAAACTTTACCCATTAGCACCTTCAGTTTTGTGTGTGATTTGTCACCTGTCATCTTAGGACCCCTGAGGGTCCCTGGCTGCATGCCTCCAGGTGTATAGGAAAGATATTTAGGTTGACAGACTGTGTATATTTAAAATGATTTTTCAAAGTTGTAAAGAAAATATATGTTTTACAATGAAAAATATTTCATCAATATTATTTGCAGCTAATTTGAAATTATTTGTGAAATTTGCTAGCAATTTCTGAATGAAAATTGTTTATACATTTTTTTTAAGTACATTTACCTAAAGTAAAACTCATCTCAGTAGGTCGTATTGTGTTTTTTTGGCAGAAACACTGTAAAAAGTGATCTTGAGGTGAAATTTATATCCAATCAGACCCTTAAAAATGACTTGTTGTTGTTATGTAATATATTCTGGTGGATTTAGTCAAATTGAATCATATTTTGGACTTTTTCCAAGTTTCTAAATGAAGTTACCACATTAAGCACCTGAGATTTTAGTCCTGATACTATGAGAAACAATAAGCACTATATGATGTTATGATTTATAATATTTGATGTCAAGCCTTGATGTTAGTTTCCTTCCGCTTCCTTTGTGTTTCTGACTAATGTCTGATCATATGATGAAGATATTGAACTAATAAGTTCCTGGTAGGAACTATCGCAGAATTGCTTTTCCCCTTTGTTGAGAGGACCCAAGAGGATGTTCTGTTTTGTACATCCTCTGAGAATCTGAATAACTTTAACTTTCCTTTTCATTTGCTTTTGATGTGATTTTAGACTGACATTGCACACAAAGCTCTGGCAGGGCAGTGAATGTTTATTGTGTTCTGGCATTCAGGAACAATACAGGAGGTTCCAGTCAGGTTGATTTCTTTTAGATTTAGATGAAATTTTCGATGGTGTATTTTGAAGTTGTTGTTTTTATTTTTAGCAAGTGTGTAAGAAGTAGGAGACACGTTTAAAAATCCAGCTTCAGATGGACACATACCTGTAACAGAAAGTGATGAATGGGCCATTGTTTGAGTCAAGGGAACTGAGGACTGATCTGGTGTGAATAGAAAGGCTGTAGTCAGGGCTGTGACGTGCACTGGAGGAGACATACGTGAGCGCACCTGTGATCTAATCATTTTTTACTGGTTAAATATTTACCCATGATCTTAACA